ATAAAAACCACAATGAGGTATCACTTAACACCAATTAGGATGGCCAGTATTGAAAAGATAAGAACAGCAAATGCTGGTAAGGATGTGGAGAAAGGGGAACCCTCCTACACTGTTGGTGGGAAGGTAAGCTAGTTCAACCATTGTGGAAAGCAATATGGAGGTTCCTCAAAAAACTAAAAACAGAAATGCCATTTGACCCAGGAATTCCACTCCTAGGAATTTACCCAAAGAATATAATTTCTCAGATTCAAAAAGACATATGCAACCCTATGTTTATTGCAGCACTATTTACAATAGCCAAGATTTGGAAGCAATCTAAGTGTCCATCAGTAGATGAATGGATAAAGATGTGGTACATATACACAATGGAGTACTATTCAGCCCTAAGAAACAAATCCTACCATTTGCAACAACATGGATGGAGCTGGAGGATATTATGCTCAGTGAAATAAGCCAGGCGGAGAAACACAAGTACCAAATGATTTCCCTCATTTGTGGAGTATAACAACGAAGCAAAACTGAAGGAACAAAACAGCAACAGACTCACAGACTCCAAGAAGGGACTAGCAGTTGCCAAGGGGGAGGGGTGGTGGAGTGCAGGTGGGGAGGGAGGGAGAAGAGGATTGAAGGTATTATGATTGGCACACATGGTATGGGGGGATCACGGGGAAGACAGTGTAGCACAGAGAAGGCAAATAATGGCTCTGTGGCATCTTACTATACTGTTGGGCAGTGACTGCAATGGGGTATGGGGGAGACACGATAACAAGGGTGAATGTAGTAACCACATTGTTTTTTCATGTGAAACCTCATAAGAGTGTATATCAGTAATACTTAATAAAAAAGGGGAAAACATATTTGCTGATTAACACAAATTGGAAGATAGGAATAACACCTGTGTTACAAATTAAATACATCAGTTTTGTTACCTGTAATTGTTAAGCTTCAGAGGATATTTTCTGACTCAGAGCATACAGGAATCTATGCCATAATAATCCAAGTTATAGTTGAGTTGTACCTTTATATAATCAGGCACATCACCTATTGTTGATCATTTTCATTCCTTATATATCAACTAAATCTGTCCTTGCTCAAAAAGTCTATTTTGTCCTGCTCAACTAGCCTAGGTTCCCTATTAATATGCACCTATAAATTCATCTTCCACTGTCATTACACTTATCACATTGCAATAATTTTATCAGTGTCTGAACCATCATTCTCTTTGCCTTGTTCACAATTGTGTTCTTAGTGCCTAAATTACATAGTAGCTAATTAACCTACCAATCCATTCATCCATGCATCTATTCCTCACCCCTTCCCTTCTCCCTCCCTAGGTAAGCAGCCAAGCAACACTGCATCACTGGTTTCCAGTCTCAAATAGCAGTTCTGGTCATTCTACCCCAAAAAGCCTCCCACATTGCAAGTCCCATTCTTGGCATCTAGGTGAAATTTTTTAAAATTCTTAACACCGAATTTTTTAAATGATCATTTAGCTTATGTCACGTGTCACACATTCTACAATTTCAGATGTTTTGTGTTCTTTTGCATTAAGTCAGCCTATAGGCCAAGACGAAAGCAGTGGAAATATATGGTATGTCCATTCCAGTTACAGGAATTCAGCTATTGTCTTCAGCAAAGGGAAAGAGAAAATAAATAAATAAAAGATGCACACAGAGCCAGGGACTCTGTGCACCATTCTGCTCAATAACTATATGCTTCACAGGGAGCCTGAGATAGGACACAGGTAACTGCTGTCCTCTCCTGGGATTTGCAAATACTGAGGGTAGGAGTTTTCTCTGTACTTTGGGGTGCTTAAGCTTGGAAGTTATAGCACGGGGACTGTTACACAGGATAAAGATTATTCAAATATTTATTCAGGATTCAGTTAAGAACAGTTTGATCTTACAAATATACAGTGACACCTGAAGCTGTGGGTCAAGACACTACCTTACCTCTGTGAAAACCATAAACATATAAAAAGTTGAACATGCTTCATTAAGCTCAAAGGCCTTACTTTTCATTCACCTAGAGAGCTGACATTTGGCATCACAATGGTTGAAAGGTGTATGAAAGAGTGGGATACAGCTAAAAATTACCAAGATGCCCCAATATTCTGGAAGACAGGAAACATCTACCTGCTAATGCTGGTCCAGTTGCAAAACAACTATATAAAGGACAATCAACATACTATTTCCTGAGGGCTCTGGAAAGAATGTTGTCACATATGTCTCTTTGACATATGAAACCCAACAACACACGATTTTCTGAGGGCTCTGGAATGTTCTCATATATAACTATGTCTCTTTAACATATGAAGCCCAACAGCTCAACCAGAACTTCTCCCCCATTTTTCCTTACTCTGCATTCTATGGAACAGGCCAGCTCTTGCCAGAAAATTTAATTGCCACTCTTTGCGTAAGTTTAATGAGCAAACCCATGTCTTACACAAACATATGTAGATCCTCCATTCTTAGTTGTATTGGACATACTTCAAACACACACACACCTGACATGTAATTATCTCCCAATAGACATACAGAGTAGAGCTGGCCCTCAAATTAATATCCATCTTTTGCCTTTTTTCCACCTTGCAGATAAACTGGAACCAGCCTCACAAGGTACGCACCAATCCTAAGCGATGGGCACCCTATCTAAACCGCGGCCTCCACCTGGGAAACCTATTCAGCCCAGTCCTCAAGGGATGGAGGGCCCTACACCTGTGCCCCGCGAGCTGCACACCTGTTCCGTCCTAGGGAAAGAAGGTGATCACCCTCCTGTCTCAGGGGGAGTGGGAGCACCTGTCCCTCAGCCTCCTATTCGTTTGGAACCGACAAATGGAAATTGACCAGTTCCAGGCCGAACTCAAGACACACCCCTCCACCCCAATGTCAACGCCGTCGGGTGGGTTCAGTTAGCCCGTCAGAGGCTGCTTCGTCAGCCACCCCGAGGCCGCGCCGCTGTCGCGCCGGGAAAGGACCTTGGCTCGGGGACCTGGCGCGAGTTCTTCTCCGCCCGGGGAACAGCCTCTCCCCGATGTTCCCACCCGGGCTGGCCCACACTGGAAATACGTTACCTGCTCAGGCTCTGACTCTACCCCAGGACCCCGGCCCACGTAGCCCCGCCCCCGCTCTAGCCTTACGCACGCGCAAATCTGCCACTGGTAGCCACGCTTCCGCTTTCCCCTGCTCCCCACCGGGTCTCTCCTGGGCGGTCTGCCCCTCTACACCCCGCCCCATTTAAAGGGCCAGAGACACACAGTCTCATCCACTAAGACAGTGTTAAGTTCAGTGTCATGGAGAACAGGAGAGTAAACGTCAGAGGAAGGATGCAGGACAATAAGTAGTAGTTCGTGAGAGGAGAAGAGAAAACCTCCTCTGGCCCTGTGTCAAAGAATTCATCTGGCCTACCTTCAGCCAGCTCAGAAAGGGCGTTTGGTTCCCAAACTTTCTGAGTTTGCAGACGGTACATTTTTTCTTAATCTTTTTGAAGACAAACAGAACTGACAGCTTTTTACTTTGCCAAGTAAGGACCACAAACACACACACTAAAAACCAACTACTATTTTCCAATTTATCAACATTGTTCCACAAAAATACATTTTTAACACAAAAATATAGGAAAACACACTCAAATAAAGATGTCACTTAAAAGGGTAAAAACATGTTTATTTATCTTATTCTTCCTGAAGAAAGATGACAGCTTTCAGAACAGACTGTTTTTTAAAGCCACGCATGTAGATCACACTGACCTAGGGCACAGATCTTATGCCTGCTGGAGCCTCCATTGAAAAAATAGGAGGATGAACACCAGAAGATGCTCTTGGGAGAAGATGTAGAAAATATTCAGTTGGGCAGACATTTACTGAGTATCAAATAGGTTCACTACACTTCTGAAGGCCTTTGAAGGAACCCAAAAGTGAGTAAAACATAGCCCTGCCCTCCAGGTACTCTTTGTCTAAGAACTCAGTATAAGACAGAGCTGCTACACAAAGCAAGCTGTTTTGAATGGTATAAGGAAGGCATGAGACCATTACTTTAGGATCACAAGTGAGGGAAAATGGTGGAAACCTTCAGGGAGGAGATGGTGACTTATTAGGACCCTGAAGAATTTCAGTAGACAGAGAGCAGGGAGAATGACTAGCTGAGGGAATAGTGGGATCAAAGGTAGAACAAAGCAAGACTGGGGAGACTACCTGCTGTCTTCTTGTGGCTGTGCCAGGGGCAGTGGCTTTCAAACATTTCTGATCATCGCTCACAGCAAAAAATACCTAGTATACCTAGTATAAATGTAAGGGTGTGCATACATGTGTGTGTGTGTGTGTGTGTGTGTGTGTGTGTTTACATCCTGAGACAGTGCCTTTATTATATGCAATGCAACTTGGTATTTTCTATTCTATTCTTTTTTTTTTTTAATGCTGGCTACTAAACTGATTTCATTACTCACTAATGCATAGCAACCCATAATTTGAAAGCACTGGCGTAGAATATGTTAGAGGTACAATGGAATATGAGGCTGGAAAGGCTGGGACCAGCTCCAGGAAGACACTGAATGCCAAGCTAGGGTTTTTTCTGGTAAAAGCCTTTGGAAGTTCTTAAGCAGAGGGATGACATGATTATAGCTGTGCTTTTAGAAGTCTGGAGACTGCCTTTGGTTCTGAATTTTTAGAGAAAAATTATTAAGCAGGAGCCTGTGTGGAGCAGGGTAAGTAGGTTGGTGAGATCAGAAACCCTATCTGACAAAGAACTGTTTAAAGTGTTGGTCTGAAAGGAAATTGACAGAAGTGGCAGGAGCTGGGCTATGGCAGTGGCAGGTGGGGAAGGTTGCTAAGTGACCTTTTTGAAATATTCTACAACAGTTGTAGACATTCTGTGTAATTCTAGAAAGTAAATCTGGGACCTGTGTGATGGGTGTTGTAGAGTGGTGATTCCAACTCACAGTAAGGAATGTTTTAAGACTTTCTAAGAAGATACACTATCATTTATAGGGCTATTGCATTAATTTAAAAATAAAAATACTGTATGCTTATTATATAAAGCTTGGAAAATTCAGGAAATATAGAAAGTCAAGCAGAAATTGCCCACATTCCAGAAAAAAGGTATTCATTATTTTAGCTTACTTTCACGTTTTTCTTTGAGCATTTACATTTTTGACATAATAGAACTATATAGACTATATAGTTCTGTATCCTGCTTTTTTTTTGCTCAATGCTATATCTTGAGCACTATCCAGTTATTAAAATTGTTCACAAATATTATTTTTAATGGCTACATAACTGTTGATAATACAGTTTATTTCATTATTTTTGGATATATAGGGGGTTCCTATTGTTTCACTGTTAACATTTCCAAGAATAGCCTATACAGAAATCTTTGCCCACATTTTAAAATCATTTACTTAAGAAAGAAACCTATAAGTGACATTACTGATTCAAAGGATATGAAAGCCCTCAAGTCTGTGAATACCTACTGCCAAAAATTGCTTTCCAGAAAGGTCAGGCCAGTTTTCATTCTCACCAGTACTGAAGGATGCATATCACACATACCCACTAGCATTTATATTATCTTTAAAAAAGCTTTACCAGTTTGATAGAGGAAATGGCCATTTATTTTAATTTGTATTGGATTACTAATGGGGTGGACTAGCTTTATAAATTTACCAACACTTAATAGTTATTCTGGGAATGCAGTTTCACTGCCTGTGTTTGGATTTGTGATTGGCAAATAGTGGTAAGTGAATTGTTGCAGACTTAAGAGGAAATAAACAGAGAGGGGCTTTAAAAATAAATGTGGTCACACCAAGTTATAGCCAAATTATACTGTGGTCTATCGTGCAGAGGTTAGTGGGAGAATTGAGTTGCCACGAGGTACATACATGGTTAAATAGGTCTACTCCGGTAGTCAATAAAATATTCATGTTGTGAGGGGCAATTTGATTTCAGCAAAATATCATTCCTTATATTAAATCAACATCATAAATTTTAATTTCCTCACTTGCTAGTTTTGTTTGTATTTAATTTATAAATTTATTTGGTTTTATAGATGCATAAAATCTATAAAAATGAGGAGTCTTTTCCTTAGCTTTGTGTTTGCAGCTATATACTTATACATATATATGTATGCAACATTATAAAAAATAATTAAAGCCAACTCTAGAGATCTGTGAGAATTTTTTTCCCTTACAAGAAATCTAAGCATTTAAGTCTGAGGAACATTGATATACGAAGTTTCTTAAAGTTTCATTTGTAATTATCTAAACATAGGCATTATGATATTTTTTTTTAGAGGGCATCTCTCATATTTATTGATCAAATGGTTGTTAACAGTTAACAACAATAAAATTCTGTACAGGGGACTCAATGCACAATTATTAATCCACCCCAAGTCTAATTCTCATCAGTCTCGGATCTTCTGAAGCACAATGAACAAGTTCTTACATGGTGTACAAATTCTTACATAGTGAATAAGTTCTTACATGGTGAATAGTACAAGGGTAGTCGTCACAGAAACTTTCGGTTTTGATCACGCATTATGAACTATAAATAATCAGGTCAAATATGAATATTCGTTTGATTTTTATACTTGATTTATATGTGAATCCCACATTTCTCCCTTATTATTATTATTCTTATTTTTTTAAATAAAATGCTTAAGTGGTAGGTAGATGCAAGATAAAGGTAGAAAATATAGTTTAGTGCTGTAAGAAAGCAAATTTAGATGATTAGGTGTGTGCCTATAAGCTAAGTATTAATCCAAGCTAGACAAGGGCAACAAAACATCCACGGATGCAGAAGATTTCTCTCAAAACAGGGGGGGTGAGGTTCTAAGCCTCACCTCTGTTGATCCCCAATTTCTCACCTGATGGCCCCCCTGCAACTGTGCCTGTCTTAGGTTGTTCACATTAGGATATTTTTTAAAGGTAAAAATGGTGTAAGCTTATATATTGGAATTTTTTATAAAGATTATTGTTAAAATTTCCTTGCCTTTGGAAAGAGCATCAAAAGCTGTACTATGTTTTGAGTTCAGAGAGTATGTTTTGGCATAAAATGTACCATTTGTCAAAGTTAACTTTGTCTAGGTCACTAAGGCCTAGACAGAAGAATGTTTGGATTTATTAAACTTGTCTTTTTAAGTAAGACAAAGCAGTTGAGCAGACAGCAATTAAAATGGGACTTCTGTGAGCTGGTCTTGGGAGAAATTAAACCAATGAGAATAAAGCCCCACATGGGATGTCCAAGCCTTGGGGCGTGGGAATTAGTAAGGGCTGGCCATTTTGATGGCCGGGAGCCGGAAGAGGAGCACCACCTATGGGCTGCTGCAGTTGGGTGATGTCCTGATACCCAGCCCTACTCTTCCCACTCTCCCCAACACAGGAAGGCTAGAGAACATAATCCAGATGTTGCTATTAACATTGCATCCAGAGTAAGCCACATCTACCCTGAAGGACAATGTCTGCTACCTACGAACAAGAGGCAGAGATTAGGTGATGAGTAATTGTGTCATTTCTTTGCTCACAATCACAAAATAAATTGGCCTCCTTTCCATTTTAAAAAGGAACTTGGTGTTTGGGTTCATAATGGGGTCAAAATATCCAAGTTGGCTGGAGAGAAGTGAAATTGGTTATCTGTCAGTTACCAAGCCAATCCAGATGTTCTTCTCAGGTTCCCTCTGCCTGGAATGCTCTTCCCCCTAAGGTAACCACATGGCTCACTCCTATGCCTTCTTTGGGGCTTTGCTCAGATGCCACTGCATTAGTCAAGGCAATAAATATAAGGCAGATGGGGAAGGAGTACTTTCCTCCCACCAGCTCTCAGGGACCCTGGTTCTTTCTATCTGTGGACACTCTTAGATGAACAGATGGCCTCCAAGTTCCCCAAGGCAGGGGGATGGGAAAGACCCCCTGGTTCTGAACTCCCTTAGCCTGAAAGTGACATGTAAATTTATAAAGCTAGTCCACCCCTCTAGTAATCCAATACAAATTAAAAGTGACATGTATGGCTCACAGTCTATTGGCCAGCATCAGCCACTTGGTCCTGCTTTACTGCACCAGAAACAGACATGTCAGGAAGCACTCATAATACCTGGGGAGCACATACTACCTTTTCCGTGGTCACCTCTCTAAGGTCTCCTGCTACCC